GGAAACCGAATGACTGGAAATGCAGCTGCCCCTGGTCTGTGCATACTTACACCCACAGATCACTCTCTGGCCCAAGGGGGCCTGATCCGGGGGAAGGGCTCCATGTGCCTGAGCGCCCAGCATTGCGTGTCCAGCGCTTCACGCTTCACACTGACCGACAAGAATTTCTCTTGGCATAAATCTAAGGCTGGGCATGGGACTGTGTGAAATAACGTGACAGAAAAAGGCAGAGACCACGTCCCAGAGGGAGATGGAGTGAAGCAAAACAAAGAAGGAGGAGGACCAGCCCCACACCCAGACCCGACACGCGGGCCAGCACAGGCTGGGGTTGTCTGGACGCGGTTCCCAGGCGGAAACCTCAGTGTGATGAATCAGTTTCCTTGGACATGGAGGGGATGAAGTCTGCCGTAGAGACAGAGCGCATTTATTCCAGGAATGGCTGTGAGAACGAACTGCATGGGCAGAGGTGGGGGGTGGGGCGTGGGGAGTATGTGGTGCAGAAAAACCACCAGGAATCCCCAGTCTAGACAGTGAGCCCATCACACCCGGGGAGACGCGAACTGCCCACAGCAAAGGGCGTGTTCGGGACAGGCCGGGTGGGCCTGGCTCTCGTGTGACCGGCTCTGATACCGGAGTCACATATTGCAGACAAGTCTTTACATATCACAGACAGGAGACAGAGATGATTTGAGGACAAATGGTAATAGAAGCACAAGTCTTCTCTTCTACAAGTCCAATGTCATGGTAAACAACACCATAAAGAGTGTCCGCACCTTTACCCTGGCTGGTGTGGCTCAGTGGATTAAGTGCCAGCCTGTGAATCAAAGGGTCACTGGTTCGATTCCCAGTCAGGGTACATGCCTGGGTTGTGGGCCAGGTCCCCAGTGGGAGGTGTGCAAGAGGCAACCACACATCCATGTTTCTCTCCCTCTATTTCTCCCTCCCTTCACCCCTCCCCTCCCCTCTCTAAAAAAATAAATGAAATCTCAAGAAAAAAAGAATGTCTGCACCTCTGAAGAGTCAAGATTTCCGAGTGCAGAAGAGCATACGAGAGTGTGGAAGAAGGCGCCTTCATGGGGCAATGCAGTGACTTTGAACACGATCGCACTGAAGCAGCCTTGGCTTGCCCGGGGTCGCCATCCCTTATAAGAGTGTTGAAACTGAAGAGGTGCACCCTGGGATGACACAGTCCCACCCCTCGAACGCAGGTCCCAACTCTTTTGTGGTGACCAGGCTACAAATGCTTGACAAAAGCTTTTGGTCCTAAGGACTGGGGCACTCAGCTACTTCCCTATGAAGTGTTTTATAGGAAGAAAGTGTTTTATACTGAAGAAATAACAACTCATATTTGTGTCACATTTTTAGGTTTCAGGGGCATTTCTACCTATACCGTCTCAACTGATTTTCACAAAAACCACGTGAGGTCGGTGTGGCGTGATGCGGCCTGACTCACACCCACCGGCCTTAGCCAGCGCCCTTCTGTCTCTCCGTGCAAAAGGGACAACAGCACTGTCCCCTCAGCCTTCTGAGGGCCGGCATCCTCATCCTCCAGGAAGAGGAACGAGCTTTTGTGCCCCTCCGGGTGCAGTGTCCCACGGCCGGGCAGGAGGAACCACATCGCAGGGCCGTTGCGGGGACTCCGAAGAGGAGAGGAGCTAGGATAGAGAGAAGGGGCTCTGCTTCCAGGACTGGGGGCTTGCAGACTGTTGGGGCCCCCACAAGTTCTGAAGGCAGTGCCAGGGGACAAGGGGCAGTGTGAGGGGAGTGACTCAGACACGTCCAAGTGCAGAGGCAGGACCAGAGAGCCAAGCCCAGCTCTGAGGAAGGAAGGCAGCTTACCCCTGGTAAGAGCCCGCCCAGCTGGGATGAGATCTCCTGCCTGTCCCCGGAGTGGGATCAAGCAGTGCCCCCACTTGCATGCCAGGACTCGGCCACCCAAACACCAAGGATGCTCATGAGCCCTGCCAGGTCCCTGGACCCACAGCAATGAGGAAAGGAAGAGCTCCTGCTCCTGTCCTTTGGGGTCAGATGGGCACCCTGGAGACAGCGAAGCCAGGAGCAGACAGGAATGGATGCCAACTTTCCACCATCACTATCACCATCACCACCATCACCGTCATCTCCGCCATCACCAGCAGCAGCATCCTCATCTCTATCATCTTCATCACCATTATAACCAACATCATCTTCATCACCAGTGCCATCACCATCACCATCACAGGTCTGCCCTGCTTTCCGAGAGTTTGTATTGAGCCACTTCACTTTCTGAAAAGCCTACGTTAGCACCTGCTTTCACTAACCAGGAGAAATCCAAAGAGAATTTTCACCCTTACGAAAAACGACAGAAAGCAAAGGCAGTGCCCAGCGTTTGTGTTGCGCAAGCCCTTACAGAGACAGTGTGCAGCCCTCCGCAGCAAAGGAGCCCAGCCGAGCTCCTCCCTCCACCCCCCACACTCCCACCCCACCGAACCCCGCTCAGCGCCTCCGCACCCAGCGCCTGCGATTTAACCTGGCTGAGAGCGTCTGGGCTTTGTCGCCATTTATGTTGTGCTTCCTGCTTGCACTGTTGTTCGTGTTATTTTACCTTCCGTGTTGTTTGGTGGGATTTTTAGGCTGTTGGGCATCTGGGAAGGCTCAGAGTTTTCCATATAAATGAGTGGGAATGGCTCCTTCTCTTTACACGGTTTCAACCTGTGACAGTGTTCACACTACTTTCAGATCCCAGGGGAAGCCTGTGTCAGCGCTGTCGTTGTCCTCACCCTCACCCTCAGCTCCTGGGCCCAAAGGATTAAAGGACCTGCCAGCACCTCCCCTGTGGTGAGTGGCAGCCCCACTTCTCTGCCTCTGAGGGCCTGGCCGTTTTGTGCTCACCATGCTGTCCTGGTCCCCCGACCCTGACCCCCGGTCTCAGCCCTGGGCCTGACCAGGCAGAGGTCAGCGTGCTCAGTGCACGTCTCCTGCAGAGTGAGCACCGTCCCACTGGACGCCCTTGGCCTCCTCTCAACAGTGTTTTTTTGTCCACGCCCCCAGCACGGCCACTTTACAAGGTGAGAGACCTCCTTCCCATAACAAACCCCTTTAATACTGAAAAAATGTAAACCTTCGCTTGAAAAGAGTCCCAGACAGACCCGCTGACACAGCGTCCCCGGAAGCCGACGCATTTCCGGGCCACCCAGGTGCAGTCACCCAGGACCGGGTTTGGAGGAGAGGGACCATTGTGTGAGCAGACAGAGAGCCCTCTTCTCCGCTGCGCCTGGGAAAGCAGCAGCTGTTCTGTGCGCCTCTGTTCAGGAAACTAGTGAACAGCTCAGAGAAAATTCAGAGGAAAGCAGCAGAGATGATTAATGAGGTAGGGCAGCCCGTGGCGGGCAGCCTTGGGGGAGCACCCTGGCGGAGCCAGACCGGCATCGCCCCTGGGGGCGGGGCCACCCCGAACACAGACAGTCCTGTTCAGCGGCCCGGGGGTCTTAGTACTCTGGGAGTAACGGAGTGAAATGGAAAACGGGAGGTGTCAGCTGAGTATCAGGAACGATCGTCACAGGGAGCAGGGCTGGGAAGTGTGCTGCCCCAGTTGTGTCCTGGATGGCCAGAGCTTGGAGAAGGGACTTTCGAACAAGCGGGTGGAGCCCCGGGCCCCCAGGAGCGTGGCCCCTGGGGTCTTCAATCTCTGCGCAGGCAAAGCCAGGGAAGCACCCGTGCTTCTGCTGAGCCACCCCCTCCTGGCCCAGCACTCGGGCAGGCCCCAACCCCTGGACGGTCCCTGTGATTTAGGTCCCAACAGCCCTCCCCACATCGACCAGGGCCTTGGGAACAAGTCTTCCCTTCTCGGTCCAGTGAAGTCACTGGAACCCCTTAGTGAGGTTCCACCCCACCTGTAAATCACTGCCTTAGTCGTGCAGCTGAGCTCTCCAACAAGGGAGGGGGTGTGTCTTGAGCCCCCCCACCCCTCCAGACTCTGAAGCGGGTGTGCCCACACTGGCCTGAATCGAAGCAGCCGCTCTCCTGTTGTTCTCGCACACACGCTGTCCCGATCTGTGCTGTCCTGTGCTCAGCTGCACCCAGGACAGGGCTCCTGGATGCGGTCCAGTCCAAGGGAAGGGATGGGTGGCCAGGCAGTCGCAGCCAGGGCGGGAGCTGCTGTGAAGGCTGGAGGGTGAGGGGACCACCCGAGCTGTGTTTGCAGCAACCTCTGACCCCAGGCACCCTGGCCTCTTTCCTCTCCCACCCGTCACCTCTTTGTCAGTGTCAGCCTTGGCAGAGGCTGCCCTGCGCACCTTCCACACCGCGGTCCCTCCCTTGCAGCTGCCTCAGAAAGGCAGCACCATGAGGAAGAGGTTTCTCTCTCAACCTGTACCCAACTCTCACACTGGACAGTGTTCTTGGAGGACTCCTATCAAACTCTAGGGGCAGCCTCTCAGTGACAGGCTCATAGTGCCCGCTGGGTACACGGGCTGGCTTGGATGCCATGCCCAGAGCGATGGGGCTGCTCCCTCAGGCTCCTCAACCTGGCTCTCTAAGACTTTGCTCCACTCCGAGAAGCCACTTAACCTCTGCAGAGGCCATCTTCCTTGTAGGACATTACAGCTACTGAGATTCTATGCAGAAGACTAGCATAGTTTTGCATGAAGAAAGTGCGCACATATTTCCAGCTTCCTTACATTCAATGAAGACGTCTGTTGTTGTCGTGAGTTCATATGTTTTATTAACCCACACGCGATTACTTGTCTCCCAGTTTCTGAAGCAACAGGTCAGACAACATTTGCCACGACAATGCCTGTCCCAGTGGCCGGCCACAGAAACCCCAGCACTCACACCGAAGGTGACTGATGTCGCCATTCTCCTGCACCTTGTAGCATGTCAGGACAGCCAGCTTCAACGTTCTTTCTCCTACGCTCATGCTCCCTGGGATGTCTTCCCGTCCTGAGCACCACCACAAAGTCTCAGCCCCAGGTGGAGAGTGGACTCCTCTTGAAAGTTTTAGTCGGGCAAAGTGTGCCCGTCTTCCAGGTGCGTGCGGCAAAGACCAGTCTTTGCTGGTCAGAAGTAGCTGCTCCTCACCCCGGATCCTGGCCTTCACATTTTCTGGGGCATCCGAGGGCTCGCCCTGGAGAGCGATGGTGTTCTGCTAGGGGTCTTCACAAAAATCTGCATCTCGGTGGCGGTTCCGCCATGGATGGCAGAGCAGGAGAAAAGTTCAGTGATTTATTCAGTAGACATTTGTTGGCGGGGACCCTAGCCCGGCTCGCAGTGGGCTGTCATCAGTAGCTTGCTTGCCTGTGTCCCCATGAGACTGAGGTCCCGTGGGTGAGACCGCGTCACAGTCCCGCACATGGTATCACTCCACACGTCAGTCTAAGGAAAGCAGACCTGTGGGGGGAAATCAGTAGGGGTCAAGTCCATTGCTTATTTTAGTGTGAATGTCTTTAATCCTTGCCCACGGGTCTGCTTATTGGTTTAGAGAGAAAGGAAAGAGAAACATTGATGTAAGAGAGAAACATCCATCAGTGGCCTACTGTATACCCCTGACTGGGGATTGAACCCACAGCCTACGAACGTGCCCTGACGGGGGATTGAGCCCTCAGTTCTTTGGTGTCCGGGACAACGTTCCAACCAACTGAACCACCAGCCAGGGCTTTAGTGTGAATTATTAAAAAATAAGTTACATGAAATGATCATCTAACGTGAGTTTTAAAACAGTTTTCCCGTAGAAAGCTGCTTATAATAACCAACACAAAGTACTGGCCCACGGCCTGCTGGAACTGCAGCTCTGATATACTATTTTTCTCGCTTCTTATTCACCTTTACAGAACAGCAGCCATCCTTTGTAATGGGTGTCCTAGAGACGCAGGGGATCACATCAAGTTTTACCCTATTGCAAGGTCATGTTTTCAGCAGTTGTTTTTAAAGGTAAGCAAATGAAAACATGTTTTAGGAAGGGTCTCCAAACAACAGACTCCATGGGGGTGGGAGGTCCCCACAAGCTGGGCGACTCAGCTCTACCATGTGAGCTGGTGAGACACCATACCCCACAAGTGCACCACCTCCATCCCTTCACAGTCGAGGTTTCGATCCAGCCAACATTGTTCACAAGCGTCTTAGCCATCTAGCCCTGGGTCGATATTTGCAGATGGGGTCTTAAAAGAGGTAATTGAGGTAACGTGAGGACATGAGGGCCCCAACCCAGCCTGACAGGGGTCCTCACGAGAAGAGGACAGAGGACACAGACACACGTGGAGGGGGGACCATGGGAGGAGACAGCCGCCTACCTGCCGAGGAAAGAGGCCCCCGAGGAACCAACGCTGCCAACACCTTGACCTTGGACTTCTGGCTCCCGAACCATGAGATCATTTCTGTCACTTCAGCCTCCTGGGCTGCGGGGCTCTGTCACGGCGGCTGGGCAGACTCATGCAGATGTGCTCCCTGAGACGGGGCGGTCAGTCTGGGGGCACCTGGCATTGGCGGCAACAGAAAAGCCCTCCTCTGGCTGGAGATGCCCGCCCACCTGTCAGCGGGGGCTCCTGTGACAGAACACTGCAGGCTGCGGGGTGAGACAGCAGACACGCTTCTCAGTTCTGGAGGCCCGGAGCCCAAGTCCAGGTGTCAGCTGAACGGTTCTGGTTAGGACTCTCCTCTGGCTCGCAGGTGGCCACCTTCTCCCTGTGTCCCTAAGGGCACTAATGTCATCATGGGGTCCCACCTCCATGACCTAATTACCCCCCAAGAACCCTACCTCCTAACACAACCACATTGAAAGTCGGGTTTTAATATATGAACTTGGAGCACATGAACTTGTGCTCCAGAGCACCAGCTGACCTCTGAGACTTGAAGTTCATTTACAAGGAAGCCAGCCTTTTATTTCAAGGTTAAACATGAGGACTAAATGCAAATGAACGTGCAAAAAGTAATGACTATCTCTGAATGTCAAGTAGCAAAACCCCTCGGGGAGGGCTCACTGTGGAGAGACACACAGAGGGAAGAAGGGCTGGACTCCGGGTGGGGGGGGCCGCAGCGTAGAGAACCGGGGAGCACAGACTCGGCAGGGCCCGCACGGCAGGGTGAAGCTCTGCCAGCTGCAGGGTCGCCTCCGCCCCACTCTGAGAGGGGACCAGCGACACGGCATCAGCAGAGAGACATCAGCGCCTCATCCCAGTTCTGAGACTGTCTGCTGGAGGCCAGCCGCTGCGGATGGGCCGCAGAACCATCAGAGGTTCTTCTGGGAGGGTCCTCACTGTCACGGCTTGAGCAGGAGCCACGAGGATGGCGCCTGCACTGCGGTCAGAAGAACCGAACCGGCCCCTGCAGCTCTGGAGCCCACAGGTTTCTCTGAGCCCAACGAGAGGGTGACTGCCACTGACATTGCTCAGGAAAGTGCCACCCCTCTGAGCACGGGGACCAGTTTTAGAGGGAACAGAGGGACACGCCTCGGGCATGAGAGAGCCAGAGGAGCGGCCAGCCTCCCGGGCGGGAAGCCCTTAACGTGTGGGGCCTGGGCACAGGCTCACGAGAGCGCTGCTCCGGCCCCCTCATTTCACAGCTGGGGAGCTGAGGCCCCAGTGCAGAGCGGATGCCCAATGTCACACCTCCTGGGCACCGCTGGGCCCCTCTCTGGGACCAGGCCAAGGTCCTGGTCTGCCCCTCCGACCCCCCACATCCTTTCCATTTCCCCCCAGACACGTCTCACGTCCATCTACGCCTCCTCACTGCGGCCGAGCTTCCGCCGCCTGTCTCTGAGGTGCAGCAATAGCCTGCTTTTCTCTCCCAAGGCCCGAGTGATCTTAGTAACGTGCGTCCCGAGGTCTCTGCACATGTCCCTCCCCTGCCTCCCCACCGGCCTCCTGCCCCCCTCGTGCAGCCTCCATGGCCTTCCTGCACTTCCTCCTGCACCTCGGGGCCCTTGCACACAGTGGGCCTCCCCGCCCCAATCAGGTTAAGGTCATGCAGCCCCCGGAGGGCAGCTGTGCCCCAGGGAGCGCCCACGAGACCAGCATGGGCGGGTGAGCGAGATGGGTGGCAGAGGGTGCACTTGCAGAAACGCCAGCGTCTTCCCAGGTCTGGCGCTCCCACCCTGCTGCCCCCGGGGGTCCCAGCCTCACCGCACGTGGGCCACCCCACACTCAGAGAACCTGCTGCACGACTGGAGAGGGTCCCCAGGCAGGCCTGCCCAGGAAGCCCTCATTCCAGATCATTCCTGCCTGTGTGCCCTCTGGGTCTCGACCAGGCCCCCTAGGGGTGCCACACTTCACGTCCAACTCAGACATGAAGTGTTGATGTGCCACCGCCAAGGAACCAACAAGAACAGGGTCCTGGAACGCAGGGCCACATTCAGTTCTGCCCTGAAAATGCAGCCCACGGTGCAGGAGCAGGCCCTCCGTCCCTGCAGAGACCCCGCTGCGCCCTCGAGGCAGACCACAGCTACCACGCACAGACCAAGGTCAGCAGCAAGCGTCCCGAGGGGCGTGCTGCTCAACCGACTCCCTCTGCTTACTCCACAAGGAAGTCTGGTTCCAATCCCCACGCAGAAGGTTCTAGAAACCTGTGAAAGGCGGGTGTGGTGTCAGGTGCCCAGCTGGTCCTCATCAGCCTGAGGAGTTCCACTCAGGTATTTATTATGAATTTTCTGTTTCATTTAGGCCTCACAAGTAACCAATGACCTAATTAGATCAAAAGAAATTTTAAATTATTTAAATAATAACATTTTACAATCATATGGTGCTTCTCAACTTCAGAGTGTTTCCATGTATCTTATTTCACTTGTATATCAGAATGCATTCTTACTGATAAATATATTGACTGCTTGATTAAAGCCTTTAAAAATGCTGTTTACTTCGCTATCACCTTCAAACCCCGTTCTCAATGACAAATCAAACAGACACATAGAAACAGGAAGTCCCTTAAGGAAAATAGTACACACGTCTGAAGTTATCTTTTACAAGATCAGCAAAGCGGCAGCGTGATTAGTTCAAAACACGTTTCTACTTAAACTTCCGGCACACACAGCAGGCGCATAACCTGCCCGACAACTGCAGAAAACAACTCAACTACTGAACAAAATACTTCAAAAATAATAAGCTTCAAGAGACTCGAGAAAGGAAGAAACACTTAGAAGGCAAGTGAAGACCTCTCAGTTCATTACCTAGAACACCAAAGCCGCTTTCTTCCCCAGGCCCCTGCCAGGCTCCGTAACTGGAGCTCCTCTTCCCCAGGTCCTGAGAAGTGCGGGACCGGGAGATGCGGCCGGAGTCCGATGAAAACCACCGGTAGCTCCTGCACAGCGGCGCCTCCTCGGGTCTGGGTGAACTCCCCGGGCGCCGCACAGTTGCCCACCTCGCAAACCTTGCCACTCGTGGAAGGGAAGACATTTACCTGGAAAACTGCAACCACAAGCAAGCCCCACTCTGAAAAGTTAAGAATAGCAAACAGATTGGGTAAGAAAACCAAAATTCCAATTCCCACCGAGCTGGGGAGAAAGCGGCAGCTTTCCCACCCTGGTGCCCACACTGTGGGGCTCCGGCCGCCAGGAGAGCTGCAGCAGCCTGGGGAGGAGGGCCGAGGTCTCCAGAGCCCTCGAGAGCTGGAGAGCTGCAGAGCTGCAGAACCCCCAAAGACACCCTGGCAAGGCAGGACGTGGCTAAGTGACACCATAACGTCACACGCTCAGGGACGACAAACAGAGTGGAAATCTGCGCCCTGGCCAAGTAGCTCAGTTGGTTGGAAATCGTCCCCATACGCCAAGGTTGAGGGTTCGGTGCCTGGTCAGGGCACAGAAAGAATCAACCAATGAATGAGTGAGTAAGTGAGTGCAAGAGCAAACAGATGTTTCTCTCTCTCTCTCCAAGATCAATAAAAAAAGAAAACGCTACAAAAGGTTTTGTAAAATTTGTGTGGGTGAATCTACATAAAATGAGATGGTGTAAAACAATAATAATTCTGTTCCATTTGTGGGGTTAAAATAAAACAAGTCAGAACCAGGGCGCCCGACTGACCACGCAGCCATCAGGAGCCAGTAATGGACACTCGGGGGCTCCAGGGTCTCTGCACTACTCGGGAGGATAAAGGCACCGCTTAACTGTGCATGCCAGAAGTTCAAGGTCAACCTTAAAATAATAGAAATAATAAATATAAATAGAACGTCTCAACTTGTGGAGGGAAATAAGTAAAAATACATATTCAATTTCAAAAAAAGTCAAGAAAGATAGAAAAATTAAAGGAAAAAATGCAGGACAAAGAAGAATCACAAAAGATGGTCAAAACAAATCCAAAGATTATAGTGGGTATTTTATAAACAATAAATGCAAAAAAATTAAACACTCCAATTGAAAGATAAAGATTGTCAGATTTCAGGTGAGAAATTAATCCATCCATATGGTATTCATAAAAGACACAACTTAAATATAAGAATCAACCCTGGCTGGTGTGGCTCAGTGGATTGAATGCTGGCCTGTGAACTGAAAGGTCACTGGTTCCATTCCCAGTCAGGGCACATGCCTGGGTTGCGGGCCAGGTCAGGCCCCCAGTAGGGACCCCACAAAAGGCAACCCCACACTGATGTCTCTCTCCCTCTCCTTCTCTCTCCCTCCCCCTCTCTAAAATTACATAAATAAAATCTTTAAAATACACATATATGTGTAAGAATCAGAAAGAATTAAAAATAGAAAGATAGAAAGCAACATGCCAGGTAAGCCTAAAAAAAGTCTGAGATTGGCTTCATGATAATGTGAATCGTAGGCTTTAAAATGGTTAAGGGGGCAAATGTATAAAGACAGTAAATTTTAGGTTAAGATGGTAAATCGTTTATCCGTACGTCAGTAACTAATATACAAAAAAATAAACCGCGAGGCAAACAAATAATTGTTAGAGATAAGAGTCGCAGGTGATGATGAAGACATAACCCTGTACCTTCCTGACACAGACACTGACGACCCACAGAGGACACCGAATGGACTTCCCGAAGGGACAAACCACGAGACGGTGGGCGGTTCCAGCACAGCCCCGCGCAGGTGAACAGGCCAGGAGTCAGAATGCAGCGTGTCCAACGTCACCACTGACAGACGTGCCCACGGGCTCGGCCCAGGAAACCCGTGCCTGACACTGCACGCTACTCAGGTGTGCGAGAACATACGAACATGCATGAAAACCACCGCAAACCCGTTAATGGGGACAGTGCCAATACATTTCAAAAGATCGGTATTTTGCAAATTATAGTATTTAACTAGAATGCCATGAAGTTAGAAATCAATAATAAAAAGATAAATTTAAAAATCTGAAATGTTTAGACATTAAGAAATCCACTTCCAAAAGCACGAAGAAATAAAAATGCTTAGAAAGACAAAATAACAAAAGATGTGCCAGTTTGTAGGGAGGAAAATTATAAGCGTTTGCCGAAAAATACGAAGGAACTAAACAAATGGGGGGAGATGCCTTGTTCCGGGATTAGGAGACTCGGTATTGCAAAGCTAGTGCAAACCACCACAAACTAGTGCTCGGGACTGGCCGGGAGCGGCTCAGAGGCTCAACGTGAGCCCCCAGAGAATGGTAGGAAGCGGGGCTCAGCAGGGAACCTCACAGGAACACTGAACAGTGACCCTGCCTGACAGCATGCTTTCGTCCTTTTTAGGGGACCGATTTCCAGGTGATTTTCAGGTGCTTGTTGTTTTCCTGACGTGTCTTTTGTTTTCCTTTGTGCCGTGTCTTGCTCTGTGTTTAGCCTTCCTCAACGTGTTTGCAAACTGTCCCCGTAGAGTGGACTGTAGGGCCAGTCCCAGCTGTGGTGGGGGAAGGGGCCAGAAGAAAGGAAGGAAGCTGTTTCCAGGCCAGGCGCAAACATTCCCAGGGGCCTTGGTTTGCCCTGCTGCTGTAACAAAGCACCTCGGCTGGGCAGCTAAAACAGAAGTTTATTTCCTCCCGGTGCTGGAGGCTGGGGGCCTGGGATCAAGGTGTGGGTGGGGCGGGTTCCTCCTGTGTCTCTCTCCCCGGCATGTCCATGGCTGTCTTCTCCCTCAGTCCCCACACGGCCCCCCTCCCTGTGGCCCAGTCTCCTATTCTCGGGAGGCCCCCAGGCATGGCCGAGTAGGGCCCACAATGAAGGACCTCATTTTACCTCGACTGCCTCTTTGAAAACTCCAGTCTCCAAATAGTCACGTTCTGAGGTCCTGGGGGTTAGCACTTCAGTGAAGAGTTTTGGAGGACATGATTCGGTTGAGCACACACCAAGTGGCAGGCACCTTGCAGGCGTGACTTCAAGGAACCCTCCCAGCAACACCGTGGGGTAAACAGCACTGTTCCCATGTCCCCGTGATGAAACCAAGGCTGAGACCATGAGGTCACTGGGCTACTGCCACACACCTGGCAAATAGAAGACACATGAGTCACACCAGGGTTTCCTGGGCTGGGGAGGGAAGGGGAGAAGGTGGCCTGTCACACAGGCTGGCACCAAGAATAATTCACTGACATGTGCAGTGCTGTCGGCCAAGCCTGCCTCCTCCACCCTGTCCATCACTGCCCTGTCCATCACCGCCCTGTCCATCACCTGCTGTGCCTCCTTGTCCCGGTGTCAAGCTCTGGACATCTGCTCCCGCAGGAACTGGAGAGGCGCCCTGTTCCTAGGAAAGATGGCGAGTGTGAAGGAGCAGAGACGCTCAGAGCCGAGGCCGGTGCTGCTCTGACTCGGGGCTGGAGAGGGGGCGGCTGGAGGCCGGGGCAGCACCGCAGAGGGAAGCAGCCCGGGGACTCTGCATAGTGGGGCCGGGGCTGTGAGCAGGGAAGTGCGGCCACGGCCACTTCTTCCCTGGAATTCAGTCCCCGTCTGGCCGATCGGGGTTCCCATGTGCTAGGAGCTGACCTGTGCCCCCCAAATGTATATGCGGAAGCCCTGATCACGAGGACTCCAGTGTGAGACCCTATTTGAAGACGGGGCCTTTACAGAGGGACTCAAGGCAAAATCAGGCCACTAGGGCGGAGCCCACGGTGCCGGGGTCCCGGTGAGAACAGGAGATAAGACACGCACAGAGGGGCCGACGAGCAGACACAGGGGGGAGACCGCCGACTGCAGGCCAAGGAGAGGAACGGCAGGAGGAGCCAGCCCTGCCCACACCTGCTCGCAGACCTCAGGCTCCAGCACTCGAAGGAGATCAGCGTGTCTGGGTGAAGCCTGTGCTCCTTCGTTCTCGCCCCAGGCAGACTGACGCACAGGCAGCAGGTTCAGGCCGATCCCACTAGAAGAGACGCAGCTGCGGAGGCCGCCCCTAAATCGTCCTCAGGTCCCCCCCAGAATTTTCTGAACAAGAGAGACAGACCCCTGCTCAGAAGCCACCCCGACCCAGGGGCGGGGCCTCTGAGAATGGAGGAGGAGGTGGGTCAGAGGGATACGTGGGAAGTCGAACCCCAGCACATTCGTCCCTGGGCAGACTCTGCCATGGCCACTGTGTCATTTGAACTACGTTCTTCCTGATGTTTGTCAGTTTCTTCTCTGAGCGGCAGGTTCCACAGGTGACTGTGAACAAATGACGGGCTTCATGTTTGCTGGCACCGCCCTGTCTGCAGAGTCTCCATTCCCTGTTCTAGCAGCCAAGACACCAGCCACGCATCCTTGCGAAGGCAGAAGGAGATGCAAGGACTTACTACCTGAACATTCCAGAACCTTCCAAACAAATCTGTCCTGTTTTTTTCCCTACGACCTGGACCCACACTGGAGAGCTGAGATCATTTTCCTCGCCTGACCAGCCGGTCCACACCGACACTGAACCCTTATCAAAGGGCAGTCTGCGAACCGCGAATACAGGCTGCTAGGTCAGCACACCAGCCTGCACGCCAGAAACCGTCCCTGGGGCCCGTGGTCACGCTGCAGCTCTGCAGGCCCTGCTGGAAGCCCCTTCCCTGTGTGAGGACCTGGCATGGCGCGCCCTCCGTGGAAGAGTGTAGATGGGAGCACGGGGGCCCCTCGGGTTGTGGTGTGAACTCGCAGAAGGAGCCCCACGCTCCCACAGAATGGCAGGCGTCCCCAGGCCACTCGGGTGGAACGAGGCCGAGATTCCAGCCCCGTGGCTGCTCCGTGAGCAACGTATGCAGGCCACAGCCCTGCAGGGCCTTGAAGGCCACGTCCCGGCAACACCGACCACCAACGGACAAAGGCAGCGGCATGTTAAGGGTGACACTCTGGGCGCCAACCTCCTCTTCTCTGTGAAATTCAAAAGTAAGAAGAGTGTTTACAGGAAATGGTCAAGACCCTCCCCCCTGGAGTAACCCCCCAGAAGATGCAGAGCCAACTTGTTGAGAGGCAGGGTTTCAAAGAGGATTTTCTCAAAGGAGTGTCTCTGGAGGCAGGTGGGCTTCGTGCAGGGCGGGTGGGAGCTGCCCCCAAACAGGGCGGGTTTCCAGGACGCTACTGGACAGCTCCCGACATGAGCCCCTCCATCTCTGGGCAAGTGAGGCTGGGCCCCACTCCCAGCCAGGGTCCCGGAAGGGGGCCCTGGGCTGCAGCAGGCTGCATCAGCGCCCCGGGGTGTCGGGTCTAAGCCCTGGTTCCCGCAGACCTGACCTGGTTTGGAAGGAGGTCTCTGCCATTAAGGACCTGGAGGTGGGGAAATGCCCGTGGTTTGCCCAGATGAGCCCTGAATGCAACAGCGGGTGTCCTCAGGAGGGCGA